ATAGGCAAAGATTAACTAGGTACTACCAATGCCAATATCGGCAGGGAATCCTCCAGAAAATCTATAATAATATTCAGAACTATTATTTCTTCTAGAGGAATCACCTATATACACGTTCCACGTATCTATTAATGCTGAACTACATCTGACCATATATTAGAAAGAATTCCAAACAAAGTGACAACAGAGAAATCACTGGCTAGGTTCTTGAAGCTACAATTCAAGATGATCAAGAGTTCTGATTTAATTAGGTTTCTGTAAGGCAGAAACGTACAGAACTGCAGTTCCAAAGATGTGGTCCATAGACACTTAAGGACCTCCCTTTCAGAGGGTCTGAAATGTCAAAACATTTTCATAATACTAAGACACTGCTTTCCTTTTTCACTATATTGACATTTGCACTGATGATGTCAAACTCTTGGCAGCGGCATCCTAATGCACTAGTGGCCATTTATATTTTTTACTATGCATTCACAGGGGAAAAAAAAAAGTCAGTTTCACTAAGACTGTCCTTGACAAAGCAGTAAAACTACTAATTGTATTAAATCTCAACCCCTGAGTTCGTATCTTTTTAATATTTTGGGAGATAGGTGACAAAACAGAAGTATGCACAAAGCACTTCTGCTGCCTGCCAAAATATGACGGCTATTTCAAAGAAAAGCACACGTGCAATTGTTCAAGTTGTGAGCTCTATTGGCTGTCTCTTTCAAGGAACAGTATTTTTATTTGAAAAAATGACAGAAACAAATTGGTTATTTGGACTTTTCAAAAATGGACAAAGTCATTTCAAGAAAAACAATTCTAATGCTAAAATTCAAGCTTTCAAGCAAAACCTAGAATTTTCAGAAAATCTTTATCTGCCACTATGAGTTTGACAGCTTTCCAATATTTAAAGATGTTTCTGATTAGATTTTAAGTGACGTTAATGACTGAATTTTATTTTTGAGAAGTTGCTGGGTTCCAGGAGTTGTGGACTTGCAGAGGGCACTCCTAATGGCAATGGGGTGACAGCGCATGTATCTACAGCTCTCCTGCTTTGAGTGAATCTTCTTGACAGTATCTTATTGGACTAATGGTCACATTCCAAATTAACTGAGCAGTGTTCTTAACTGCTCTTAAAGGCTTGGGAGATAACCAAAACACAGTGGCTGACTCATTTTTTTTTAAAACATTTTATTGTAGTTTAGATGAAAGTTTACAAAGCAAAAAGTTTCCTATTCAACAATTTACACACACTTTGTTTCATGATATTAGTTGCAACCCCCTCAATGTGACTGCACTCCCAATTCCTCCCTGGATTCCTCATTTCTATTCACTCATCTTTCCTACCCTTCCTGCCTTCTGAACTTTATTTTTGGGCAAATGCTGCCCTTTTGGTCTCATATGGTTGATTGTTCTGAGGAGCATGTTCCTCACAGGTGTTACTGTTCACTTTACAGGACTGCCTATTGTTTGGCTGTAAGGCTGAATGTGTATTTTTAATATTCTGTAATCAAATGTGTCAACATTTGGAAGAACTGCATAACCACTATTTTTCAGATGACCAATACATTATATTACAAAATCACGTACAGTAAAAGATTCATTTGAAGTGCAAAAGAGACACTGACTTTTAATGGAACAGAATATGAAGTCTGATATGGTTTCAGATTCCACGCTGCAACTAACCATGTGTTGAGTTTTGGTGCAGTATTAAAGAATATCCACAGTTATCTAGAAAGGCAATTAAAATACTCTTTTTTTCAACCATATATCTATATGAAGCTGGATTTTCTTCACATACGTGAACGGAAACAACATACTGCAACATATTTAATGCAGCAGCAGAGGAGAATCCAGCTGTCTTCCACTAAGTCAGACACTAAAAGAGGTTTGTAAAAATGTAAAAACACTGCCATTCTTCTTACTGATTTTTTTTGCTTTTTAAAAGAGCTATTTTTCATTTTTAAAATGTTACTTGTTACACTTAGAAAGTTTCTTATTGTTACTTTTAAATTTTAAAGTTTTAACTTCAAATACAGCAAATATTGATGGATATGGCCACATATGCCAATAAATTTTAAGCGTGTAAAGGGGTCCTGAGACCAAAAAGTTTGAGAACTGCTGGCATAGACACTCTGGAATTAAGACTGCCTGGGCTCACCTGCCAGCTCCATACAACTTATCGGTTTTATGACATCTGGTCAGTTACTTAACTACACTCTGCCTCAGTTTCCTTCTCAGTAAAATGGAGATAAAACAAGTACTAACCTCATAGAATTATCATGAGCATTAAACAAAATGTTACATGTAGAGCATTTGGTACACTGACTGGCCCACAAGAAGCAATCAATCAATCTTAATTTGCTATTATTTGTTAAGCAGTTTTCAATCAAATCAAATGTACTGTTTGGAATCAAATCATTTCTTTCTAATCTCATTAATCAAAGATTTGAGTGCCATGACTCAATTAATTGAGTTTTAGGACACTTTCCTGGAATATACTTGTCATGTGAACATTTTTCATCTTCAAACTTGCTAGAGCTTTATTATTTGGGGTCTCCAATAAAAACACTGACTGCCGGAAGACTACTAGCTCTTGCCAATACTCTTCAATTATGAATACGGATGCCGGAAGAATGGAAAAGCTAACACCTCAGATTATTTTCTTCAAGCAACAGACCTAAACCTCAGGAGGCTGAAAAGGACTCACACCTAAAGAAACACCTTAGTTAATTATCAAATATAAGATTTTTTAAATGTTGATAGACCACTTACAGAGTCATGGGTGAGGTATGTATCGCAGTAGTCACAATAAAACCTGGAAAAAAAGAGAAAATGACAACTAGCTAATAAATGTCCATCCACCGAAGCACTGTTCACTGAAGGAAAAAAAAAATACAAAAACAAAACCCCCGACTTACTCACGATTACAAGACGTCAAACAACCCGTCCCTAATATAAACCAGGCTTTTTTGCTGCCTTAAGCGGGTCGACCTCCACCCTCAAAAAGGGGAGTCAAGAGGGCCCAGTCTCCCTCTGTTTCCCCCGACCCTCTCCCTCCCCCGAAAGCTCTCAGGCGCCAGAGCCCGCTCTCTGCACCTCCAGAGGTTCACAAGTAGCGACAGCGACCACCCCCAGATTTCGAGGCCCCCACTCACTTGGGCATGCTGCTCCACCGGCCGTTGCCTGCTCCGTTCCGCGCCGCCCGGAAATGACGCGCACAGGAAGCGCCGTCGCCGCGGAATTAACGAGACAAATGCGACGATTTCAGAAGCTTGGGCCGCCCAATCAGCCAGCCAAACTGTTGTGCGGTGCCTTCTGTATCTCAGCGAGGGGCAGGGCTTGTCTCTTCTTCCCACCCTTTTACCTATAGAGGGCGGGAGTACTACGGGTCGGTAAGAGGTTCCTCGACGCTTATTTAATCCTGATTTTCGATGCTTTCTGAAGCGCGTTATTATTCTTTCAACAAATATGTATAGATTGCTTGCTGTGTGTCAGGTACTGCTATAAATGCCGAGAAAAGAGAAGTGAACAAGACAAAAATCCCTGCTCTCATGGAGCTGATATCCTAGTGGGGGAAAACAGATAATACGTAAAAATTAGATGAAGCCAAGTGCTATGGAGAAAGAAATTGTAGCCGGGAAGTGGGGAGTTCAGTTTTAAATAAGATGTTCCGGGAAAGCTTACCAAGAAGATGAGGATTAAGTGCAAACCGTTTTACATAACATCTCTGTTTTGAGTTTCATCAACCCCAGGAGGTAGTTGAACCTGAGATTCGAGCCCCATCTCGCTACCGCTTCGTAGCTGTAGTTTTTGGGCAACTTATTTAATCTTTCTGAGCCTCAGTATCCTCATCTGAAATATATGGGTAATAATTCGTATAGGATTTAAATGTGAAAATGCTTGTAGAGTGTTTAGTACAGTGTCATCACATACTAAGCCCTCCATAAATGGTAGTTACCGTGAATAAACTGATAGAAGTAACTTGTCCACAGGTACATGTTCTAGCAACAAGGCGGAACTTCCAGCCTGCTCTTTCAGACTCCAGAATGGCCTACCTCCCTCTTTTAGGAAAGAAAAATAAGTATTGGGAACTGGAGAGGAGGAGCTTTTGATTCTTCTGCCCAGATTCTCTGGTGGTGGAGTTGCTGCCAAAATAATAATCGCCATTTTATGTGAATGTTTACTATGTCTTAGGCACTTTAAAAGGAGCCGTGGTGGTGCAGCAATAGCGTGCTAACCAAAAGGTCTGTGGTTGGAACCCAGCAGCTGCTCTCTAGGAGGTAGATGCGGCACTGTCTTCCGTAAAGATTACAGCCTTGAAAGCCATATGGGGCAGTTCTGCTCTGTGCTATAGGGTCGCTATGAGTGAGGATCTTGGATGGCAATGGGTTTAACAGGAGGCACTTTAAATGCATGGCTTTATTTAATCTGCCCAATAGTCCTATTATTCTCATTTGCAGAAGAGGAAACTGAGCTTTAACAAGGTTAAGTGTACCACAGAAAGTACATCCTGGTTAAGGGAAAAAATTAATTGTACAGTGAAGTTATTAGGCTTTCACCACCTTAATACAGTGGTTAATCTTAGCGTCATTAATGGTGGAACAACCAGATATTGTGTGTCTCCTGCTGGGATGCCAACATTAGGTTGACACCATCAACTATGATTGAACTCCCCGCTTACCTGCTGCATTTTTTTCTCCATAGCACTTGGCTTCATCTAATCTATTTTGATATTCTTACAAAAAATGTTTAATTTGAAATCTAATCATGTTTACGAAACTGAATAGATGGTCAATTAAAGGAAAGCAAAAGGCAGCAAACTTTCAGAAGGTGGCATATTCTACAGAACAACCGGCCTCTTTTCTTCAGCAAGTCAAGAAAAAGCCATTCTAGGTTAAAAGAGTTTTAAGAGAACTGACAACCAGATGCAGTCTATGGCCCAGGGTTAGAGCCTAGGTTGGACAAACCAGTTGTAAAGGACATTTTGGGGAAAATGTCTGGGCCTTAATGTTGCCGTTCTAGAAACCCACCTTTGTCAAGAGGATGGATTAATCAATTATGTTTTGGTTTTTTCCTGTTTTTACTCTGTGTTGATTCTGGGCCTGTTTTGCCCTCAAGTCAATTCCTCTCCTTTCCCCTGCTCTTGTCAGTATGGAGTGGGAGCTGACCCCCTGCAGTATGCATGGCCTGGACTCCCATACTAGCTGGCTCCCAGGTTGGGCTGCTGGGCTCCACCAATGGGAGGTACTTTTAGGAGATTGGGGAGAGCAAGGAAAAAGCCAGGGTATTTCTTACCACCTCTCTCTCTTCCTCAGGCTGTCTCCTCAGACGGGCTCCAACTTCTGGGCTATGATCCTAGCCCCTGGGCTCTGATAACAAAACGTCCTCCTTCTTTTCTTCCGGTCTAAAGGTGGGAGCAGCTTCTTATTGCTCATCTCTGGGCTGCTTCAATGTTCTCTGTTTGTTTTCTGGAAAGGCTTTATTATATTATGTGGGAGGAGGGGGAGGCTCAGTCTTTCCTAGTGGCCGGGACAGTGCTCAGCTCCTCACTTCCTCTTGGCACTGATGTGTGTCCCCATCCTTTTCTTGATGAACTTGAGGGCCTGCTTGTTCGTGGAGACTCTGAGCAGCTCCATGGTGCATCACGTGTAGGGGGCAAAGCCACACACCTCCCAGATCACGTCCCACATGAACTTGGTGTGCTTGATGAGGCGCCCACGGTGGCAGCTGTACCTCAGCTTGCTTACATTCCTGGTCACTTTGTGGCCCTTGTTGAGGCCCACAGCCATGGGGTAGTGCACAACCATGGCTGCTACTCTTCAGTGGCTGCTGCGGCAAAAGCGCTGTGTGGCTTTTTATCTCTGCCAACACCTGTATAATCAATTCTCTAAATTAAATTCCCTCAGTTTCAAATACTTAAGTGGTTTCTGTTTTTCAGGGTGAGCCCTGACATATATATATA